CTAGTCGGTTTTTATGATAAATGAAGACAGCTACACGGTGCATTTCTCGCCTCAGATGCTTTCATAAACACATTTCCGTTAACTTTTCTCTAATGTAAACGAGCCGCCATGTTGGTGCAGTTCGGCTGCAAACTCGCGTGCTCATTTCTACACGTGTCAGCTCACGAGAAATGTTCGTCCAATCAGGTGCAGCAGGGCGTGTCCTGAAGTGTTTTCCTGCACCTCTTTATCCGTTAACCCTCCTGCAGCACAAAAGCGCCGATATCAGCGTTTATAACCGTGACGTTAACGTGAGATTGTTATATAATATTATGGCGCAAAGTCAAGCGTTGTGTCAGTTATAAGGGGTGGTGTGCTAAAAGCTCCTCCCTACCTGTCCCCTGGGGTTTATATCTAACACTTCTTGGGACTTGTGCTCCATTTTCTCGAAGGACAGCAGTTTGTGGTTGTAGCCCTGCAGGCTCTTCTCCTCCAGAGCGATCATCACCCTCCAACAGGGACAAGAGCCGGTCCCCCACAGCAGAGTCATGTCCTTGGCCATGGCTTTAACTTGAGATTCACAGTTTGGACGGTCACTGAACTGGACGCACAAAGCAACAGCGCATAAGAAAAATACCCAGTTACTTTTCTTATGGTTTGTAGGAGGGGATGTCAAGCTTTTATAAGAGCGTGATTGCCATCTACTGGCTGGAAGAAAAAACTACAACTCTATCATCATCTTTCATTTGCCTTCTTCATATTTTTGATATTCACCACTGAATGATTTGTTGAAATAATAATAATAATAATAAAATAGGTTTGTTTGTACCTTCTGCACTTTGTGTAGTCGATGACAAGATGGTAATCACATTGTACACTTCCTCCCCCAAATATTCACATATGCTCTGCCTCTATCCCAATACAATATAGTATTATATAGTATTTTAGCATAATTAGAAAGGTGACTGACCTGAAATAAACAAGCTGTTTTTATGAAGAATAACTGATGGAAGCTGTGTCAACATTTAATGCTATAAAACTTAATTCTGTTCCCGAACATTACTTTAGGTCATTTTATTTGTAAGCAAATATATAAACAACAAGCATCAGCCTCAGTGATGTAAAACAAAAATTTAAGTTGGTTTTGAAGACAATGGTCAGGTCCTGATGTGAAGCAGCAAGCAGGTCCAAAGTTTAGTGGCAGCTACAGCAAAGGCCCAATCTCAGGTATATGCAGAAGCATCTGGTCAGATGACCTCAGTGATATTTTGGGAGAGTGTGTAGTTAAAAGATCAAGAAGGTTGAGATGATGATGTATTCGATGACTCAGAAACAATAAATAGTCATAAAAAATTTTAAATCACCTCTTAAACACATCAAAAATCATGGCCTAAAATCGGCTAAAATAAAGCCGATGCTAAAATAGGCTTTATTTTAGCCGATGCTAAAATAAAGCCTATTTTAATAGTCAACCCTGGATAAAATA